ACCTTTGCCACTGAGAGCTTCACACACTTAAATACAGTAGTTTCAGATAAACCTTAATGACTGAAACAATTAAAATATGATGTGACACAACCCTTAATTCTTTATTAATTTAACCCATAGCTTATGCATTGTTCATTTGTATTATATGTGTGTGCTCATTAGTTATTCTTATTGTATATGGGCTCTTTGTACTGACATACCTCAAAACTGACTTTACTGATAACTGCACTCTGAACGCTAACAGGTAAATGAAACAGATCATTTCACATGGGTAAGTTTAGAGGTTACTACATAAGATTTACTGAGCTGTCACTTAAACCTGTTTATAGGATTGATCCACGATACTCTTGGGAGGGGTAAAGATCTATTTTCATTGTCACGGCTCAATGCAGTTCACCTAACACAACTTGATAAGGACAGAGTGTGAATCTTCCGAATGATAATTAGCAATGTATCAACACCTTGATCTAAGCAAATAATGATATAAAATGAGCCACTGCTCCTATGAAATTAACTTTAAGTTAAGTAAAGTTCATATAAGTGACACATTTTCTAGTATATTTTCTTGAATTGTTTTATTAATCGTTTTGATGTTCAATTCCGTATTAAAGAAGAGAGTACTGAATTTCTTAAGAGCTTTTCAGTACAGCCTATTACTTAAGTTAATAAATATTAAACAACATTATGTTTAATATTATTCTCATTAAAAAAACACATTAAAAAGCCAGCAATCTGAAATATTTTGATTGGTAGGAACATGTATTAATACACGAAAACGTAGGTTTTACATTAGTGGTTCATTGAACAAATAATTTTGGGAGACCATCTTAAAGGTTAATTGCAACGCTATTTTTATACTTGGGGGTGAGAAAGAATCAGCATTGATGAGTGCCACAATAAAGGACAATAAAATTAAAATGCACACAGTAACGTGTAAAATCTCTAATTTACATCACAAAATAGACTAAATGTCTAGGTATGCGCAGTGCCATGTTCTGTGATTCAGAATGAGGCCACAAAACATCCGGTGATGTGAAGCAGCCTTATTACATTGTAAAGAAGCATGCCTGTGAATACATCTCTCATAATCCAGTAGAAATATTGCTTTTGATTTTGAGACGGTTTTGCCAACACATACTACTTGTTAACCCTGTATGCAGATCACACTGGAACATTTCTGCAGTGAAATGTCTGCTGCACAACCTGTACTTATTTGCTCATACGTCACATTACATCAGTGTACAGGAAGGGTTGCGTCATGCTGCAATTCGTGGGAACTCAAATGCGAGCTTGGGAGAACATGGCGACTTACTGTACTTTCTCAAAGTTCACGATTTTGTGCTTAATTCAAAATTTGTTTAATTTTTCTATAACATCAATGAATTTATTTTGTTACTGGGATTTGAGGTCTGAGAAATTTGGACTGCAGTTCCCCTTTAAGAAGGGGCTGAGGTTCTAATACTCATAAATAGTCACACTGGGTGTTCATAGGATAATTTGAAGGCTGTTTGGAAGCATTTTCATATCTGTGTAATTAGTCTTTGTGTTTCATATATAAAGGGAGTGCACCCAAGTAATGGTTGGGATTTTTTTAATGAATTGCTGTTGTCTCCTTTGTTATTATCAAAAAAAGGCAAACAACAAAAAATTATGTGAGTGCAGACTGATGGGATCGTCCTAGTTGAGGGTACAGTCTGGAACAATACTATCATTCACATTTTAAATAGCAAACACATAGGTTTGTTGATTCTGTAGAACTGTTCTTGAGGATAGAAAATAAACTGAACAGCAAAATTCATGTGATTCCAGAAAAACTGCAGTTCTAGACCCTTGACAGGTCTGACAGAAGACTGTGTGTAGAGTGTGTGGAGATTCCATGGTGAGCATTATACTGATAGCTGCAATCTTCAAGCCATTGGTGGGATAGCAGAAATGTGTTGATTAGTGGAGCAATCTCCTTTACCACAATAACACATTTGTATTGTATGTATTATACTATTATTATTATTATTGTATCATTCGTTACACTGTGGCTGTGTTGTCTGTGTAAAGCTGCTGTTGCACTGCAATTTCCCTCACGGGATCAATAAAGTATCTATCTTTGGTGCTGACTGAGGACAACATTTCTGCTCAGTGTGTAAGGCTCTTCCTGGAGTTTTTCTCTCCTGCAAGCCAATCAAGATGACATTTTTTAACAAAACCACACAGAGCTAATATTATGATAGACAAGACTTCAAGAAAACAATGTGGAGGTCTTGCAGTGGGCATCTTTTTCACCTGAGTCTAACAGCATATACATGGGACCAATTGCCACAGATGACAATGCCATTAACAGGAGACTGGTCAGTCTTCAACAGTTAGATGCAGCCATACAGCAGGGGTTGCATCAGAACATCCCAAAGCAGTCTATTCAGAGGCTGATCAGGTCTATGCATAAAAGTTGTCAGGATTAAGGTAATGCACAAGGATACCTGGATACATATTCTAACATTTTAATCTGTACACTTTAACACTGTCATCTTTCTCAATAAAAATTGGTGTGGTTTTGACCTGCATTTCTTACTTGACAATTGAGTTTCATCTTTGTTTAAAATATTTGTATAAATATAAAAGGGAAAATTAAATGTTAAGATACACAGTTAAAAGTGTAGAATTTACATCAAAGGATGTCAATGTTGCACCACTAAATATTTACAATTTTGGTCTCCACATTACAGAAAACATATTGCTGCTGTGGAATCAATTTGGGGCTTAAGTGTGTTAATGTCCTATGCTGATGTGCTGAATGAACTGAACCTTTTTAGTCTTACAGAACTCTAAAAGGGGCCTGATACAAAGAATTCAAAAAGGCCCTGACAAAGTCCAACACAGTGGACATCTACAGAATAAACAGTGAAACACTAACCAGAGGACACACTGTATTTGTAAACTATGTGTAAGTGCATTTAAAAGGTACTTCGTCACAAAAGGGTGACAGGTGTATAGAATAAACTAAACAGCCATGCTGTAGAAACAAATATCCTGGCTTACTTCAGGAAATGTTTAAATGAGATTCTCATTAGCTACAAAGTATAAAACAGGCTAGATGGGCTGAATGGACCTCCTCTCTTTTGTAATTGTTCTTAGAACAGAACAGAGCTCCTGCACTGAGGCTATTCAGCTTCTCCACTCAACACTGTTGAGCATTTATTAATGTATTTTGGGATAAATTTGTGGATTCCATCTGCACTGTAATGTATAATGTATTTTGTATATGATATGTGTTTTTTATAATTCTTCTTTCACTTCTTGTATCTTTTTTTTTATTATTTGCACCTTGTTTCAAGCACACCATAAAAAATCCAAAGAACCCAGAGGACTGGTTTGGCAGTAAAGCGGACTTTTTAGACCCAGGTTTTGTTTCATTCGTGCACCAGCATATATACTGTACAACTACTTATTTCATAGCATTGTTGTGTATTGGATTGGGGGTTGGCACTGTTTCAGACAAATGCCCCGCAAAGGGTACATGTGCTGCAGGAGGTACTGTCCTTCAGAATGAGAAGTTAAAGGGATGTCCTAATTAAAATTCCATGATACCGTTCATGTAAAAGTAAAGGTGTTAACCTTGGTGTCCTGGCTAAATTCTGCTTTTTGCTTGTTTAACCTAAAGTTCCCCTGCAGTTCATATTTTTGTCCCCTTGACCTTCTCTGGAGTGGGCCTGCAGCCATGGATCTTTTTACACAAGGACATTGGATGTTGGATGACTTTGTAATAAACAAGCACCACAACTTGGTGTTATTTGTACACTAAGGCTCCTTTTATATCTTACTAATATTTTTTTATAAATTAGTAGGACCCACATGATGTTCTGATATGATTCAGTGTTGACAATATGCAAAACATCAGAAAAACTGACATGGGCACACATACTTTTTCAAAGAAACTTCATTCTTCTTGCCCAGTTTGTGTCTGTCACTTTATTAACTGATTTTACATTATTGCACTTACATGATTATTTCTTGTCCTTATGGACAATATTATATATTGGATAAGGGTATCCGCAAGGCAAATAAAAAAAAGACGGTTCACAAACGCAACAAATTATTGTTCCATTTTCTGTATTGACACTAACACTTGAAAAGCTTTATAGAATTAAATCCATTCATGTGCAATAATTCAAATAAAACACAATGATGAGATGCGAAGTATGTTTACCAGAGGTATTCTACAATACATATCTGCTTAGCTTTCAAAACAAACAGTTCTGCGTGCTGCAGTATTTTCCAAAATACTGCCTGGGTTTCAAAAGGGCTTTAAAATTTTTACTGAGTTTTTTAGCCATGGCTTAAAAGCCTGTGTCCTTGTTCTTTTTCGAACAAGCATTATGTAGTCATTAAAGCTGAAACAGCAGGTGAGACCTAGTTTTTACATTTCATATGATGGATGTCAGTACTTTGCATACAAGCTGGGTGCTGGAAGCTAAAATATGTCCAGGTTCATATCTGGCAAGTTTTGAATTGGTGACCTGGTTGCACTACTGTCTATCTGCTACCAGTAGGGGAGGGCTGAGCTCTGCCTTTTGGTTTGTGTGACTTTGCATTCCTTACAATCTCCTAACTGTAAATGAAAGACTGTAATTAAAAAACAATTCTAAAATGTTAATGAAAAAATACAGATGCTGCAGAGCCAATATACCTTTTGTTTACGTTTATCAATTACTTGCATCCTCAGCAGCAACAGACAACTTATTATTATTATTATTACTATTATTATTATAATTATGCTTTTTTTCATTTGTTCCAAACTGTAACAAAAGAGTCTTTATGTTCCCACTGCCAGAAAACATTAAAAAGGCATGATTCAAAGAAAAGGAACGATTTCATAATGTGTCATATGGAAAGCATTGTCTGTAAACAAGTTGATTAAGCCAAGCTGTGGATTAATCCTTGATCTGCCCTTTCTATTGTTTACAGCAGGCAGCCAATAAGTGCCAGAAGCTTCCAGAGGAACCTCTTACCTTATCACACCGCATCAGTCCCAAATACCTCAGGGATTTGCTTGTTTTAGCAATCTGGGTGGCTCCTTGATCTGTGATTTCTTTACACCATCCTGCATCCACCGTTTCAATGGTGGTGCTGTACTGGCCAATAGCTATCAAAGCTGCAAAGGGAAAAGAAAGTAAAATAAACTTCTGTAACTCTTTCAACAGTGGCAGTTACAGGTATACAGTATGTGCAACAGCTGAATCCACACATTAAATTATGCGTCCAGTAAAAAATCAATTGATCATTACAACTTCACATAGGCTACACATCAAATAAGGGAGTAAATCACGAAACCAACAGGTTGAACAACTTTTTCCATGCAGGTCTTTTGTTTATGATACAATTCAAAGCATCCATTATGAAACTTGCATATGTCAGAGGCATGCCAACACAAAGACATATGAACTCACAGTTACATTAATACTGTGCAATCTTGGCTACAATTGCCTTCCTCACCCTAAGGTACTGTACACAGACTTTACATTCCTCTGGCACAAACCCACACTTGGTCTAGCCAGTTCTTGAGCAATAAGCTCCCACAGACCCCATACTTCTCACGGGCACCTCTTCTTGACACTATGTTAAAGTTGCTGCCAAGTCCGCTCAATAGGGCTTAGATCCAATAGCTAATCCATCACTTACATGAGCATTCTGGGTCACTGTCAATCTGGAGCACCAGTCTTAACCTTCAAACTTCTTTAATGTACTGAAAAACTCCTTTTCTTTTGCTCTGACCGAAGCACTTATTAACCTCAAAGTTGTAACTCTGTACCAGTGTCCTTAACCTATATTCTCAGACTAATTTTAAACTTTATTTATGCATTAACAACAAAATAGTTAATTAATAATACTAGTTCTGCTTCTACCACAGCTGCCAATCAGTCCCTGTGTAATACCTAACCAAATGACTAAAAAGGTTTATTCCATGTTGAAAAAAAGAAGAAAGAACACAACGTTTCGAAAGGTTGTGTTCTTTCTTCTTTTTTTCAGCATGGAATAAACCTATTACTTGTTCCTTTGCAGCCTACGCATGCTGACGCAGCTACCCACCTGAACTACTACCATATGACTAATGTGACCTTAGTCATACAATTCTTCCACTGAAGAGATCATTTTTCTGATCAATACCTTGAACAAATTCATGAATTTGTAACTAAATAAATTCATGACTAAATGATGAGATAGTGCTTTGTAATTAATAGAATAAAATTGCCTTCTTCCTCACAGCAGGAATATCAGATGCTTTATTCCCCCAGCACAACCACTAACAAAGTAAACAAGAAATAATTGTAAAATTGTATCGAGATCCCCATCTACTTAAAGTCTGTAAGATGCTGTATCATGATCTCACTCCCCTCGTGCAGCTTCTGTGCAAGCAAGCTCTTCATTGATGTTTCTAATTTAAACTGCTTTATTTTGTATTTTGTGAAGGATGTGTTATAGCCATTGACTGGCAAAGTGGGAAACATCTTCAGACTGAAAAAATAGCAGACATCTATCCCAAAAGAAAAACTCAAAGTCAGGTTAAGATGAACTTCAGCATATTCTCTGTAAATGGAAATAGTGATCATATTATTATTTTTGTCTGAAATCAGTATTATTTCTCCAATACTTAACAACTTGATACAGTTCCCCATAAAAAAAACATACATTATGGTGTTATCAAACAAACATTACATTTTAAATTATTAAAACAATTGTTGATATCAACTTAGTAGAATTGAATAAAACCACTCGTAATGAATTGACATAATTCTGTTTAATGGGATTTCTCAGTCAAACTATAGTCCATAAAAGGATGTAAGAACTAAAAAAAAAACATCACTCACAACATGATCAAATTAAACACAAAAGCAATCTGCACAAGGTTAACAGGCCATATGCACAGTGCTCAGTGAAACGTGTTTTACAATCTGACCATTATTCTTTTGGGGAAGTGTGAGTTGGGAGGGAGGGGGTTCAATTAAAGATATTTGTGTTCAGAAGACATTATACCAAGTGTCACTGCTTTTTCTATCAACGTGCAAGCTGTACAAAATTACCAGAATATGCCTCAGCCTTTTGGCTGCAAAATACACTTTTCCTGATAATAGAGCAGCCCCTATTGTTTTGAGGGTGATTTTTCTATTTGACTGCAGCATTTGTTTTCTGCTTTAATCTTCTTGGTTCAGAATAGCATTTTTTTCAGTTTCAAACCAGCCTGAAAAGAAACCCAACACTAGACGGAGAATGACCAGGCCATCACATCTGCCACGGGCCTTTTCACATCCAGAATGAAAACATGATGCTAGGTAACAAAACACTTCAGCCAAAACACTGTTTGTTCCTCCAACTGCATTTAGATAATCACTGTGTGCAGTTAGGTTGCATTTTTCTTTGTTTTGGAGGACACAGTGTTTGCATAATAAACATAAGAAGGCTTATGAACAATAGGTATCCATCTGGCCCATCTACACTCTTTGGTAGTTAGTACCTAATTCATCCAAGGGTCTCATCCAACCATTTATTGAAAGAAGCCAGGCCATCAGCTTCAACCACATGGCTGGGAGGCTTGTTACTCCCACAACCAAATTTTGTCAAGACTGGTTAGAATAAACCATATAAAATTACTTTTGAAAGACCATTCAAATTTGTTTTTGGGGATTTCTGCATCACCACAATTATGTGCAGTGATTTGTTTATGTTCAGACCAAATACATTTTTTTAAGCTTAAACTTATAATTGATATGATGCATATATTACAATGGAAAATCAAAATGCATCAAAACTGCTCTTTGATTCTGTGTTCATAAGGTACTGAGCAAGATACTTGATGATTTTGAGAACACTTTTAAAGCAAAGCGCTTTTCTGAAACTGAGATGGACAAAAGTACAAAGAACCATCAAAGACTACAGAAAAACCTCTGCTAGTGCTTTTCTCCTTTAAGCATGCAAGTAGTAGGACCACGTGATAGAATGGGGATTAATTCTAAAGCAGATTGCTCACAGAGTGTACTTTCCTCCCACAGAACTGAGTTGCAATGGATATCATTTTGAAAATCTTTTGCCCTAGGACCAGTGACTACACTTCAAAAAGGAACATGTTATCTTTTGTTTCATTTTTTGCCTCAGATATTGTACTAAACAATGATTATACAGTACATTAACAGCATCACATATGCAAAATATAATAGAATGGATTTAAAATTACTGGACAATACTTACAACTTTAGGATTCACTTTATCTTTTGCTTTTTCTTGTTCCCATCACTTTGCGTAAACAAGTGTTCACACCCTGCTTGTCTGTCATATGTGCAGTCATGTATACTGGATTCAATTCAAACAAGCACAACTCACCTGACCCATGGTGATTGTTCACAAATTGAGTTTTTAACTAAATTTGGGAGGGATGACACTGACCAATGTCTCCTTTACCTCTGCAATTCTTACTTGTAATTATAAATCCCATGTATGAACTACTGTATATATAAAGAACCACAGAAAGCCTCGCTTGCTTGAATGTGTCTTTCTGCATCCCTCCTTCTTCTATGGCCAGGTTATGTTCCCTCAGACAAAAGGGTTAAGTCAAACTTTATTTTGACGAAATCCTTAATAAAAATTTCTAGAAGCATTTTTGTATTGGGTGATTTTATTCCCCCCGTGAAATCACATTTATTTGTCTCTATGAAGACATAAGCAAAAGGTATTGCTTAAACTCATGAAACATTTGTCTTGCCAACACTTCTGATGAAATTTTAATATGGAAAATGTCAAATCAACTTTTCATCAGCTAAGGTGAGATTTTTTTCCAGAGTGAGTCAAATTTACAGGTGCGTGAAAGCATGCAACTTAACAGCATCATCACCTTTAAAGTATAAGAAAGGTTCAGGTAATTTATTATACAGTACCTAGCATTTATACAGTGCTTTTCCTCCCACAAGATCCCAAAGTCTTTTACATATAGGGGTGGACTCATTTCATCCATCACTAGATGAACTTCACAGCCCCACTACATGGGAAATAAGAATTGTTTTCAGCAGTTGAATTATAGGAGAGATTTAGCAAGGCCAAAATTGTTTATGTGCAGAGTTGAACCTAATCCCTCTAATCTTTCAAAAAGTATCATGGGTCTTTAATTACCAAGTACTCAGGACCTTGGTTTAACATCTTTTCTCTAAGATGGCACCTTCTGCAGCTCAATATCCCTGGTCTCCATACTATGGCAATAAAATAAAAACATCTCAAAACACAAGAAGGATTCATGACTTGTGTGGGTGTGGGTGGGAATCTGTAAGTATAATGTAAATGTTTGGCACTAATGGCAAATTTCATTTAGTCAGTGGCAGAGAAGGGAGTCTACATTTTACTTGCTGAGATATTGCTTTGGAAAATCGTATTGCATTTCTCCTCATTTGAGAAACCCACATCTCAAATTACCAGTTATAACCAGCAGCAGGAAGAGAACTTGTTAAAATGGAGGTCGGGATTTTCTTTAAGACTCAAGTCATTATTAAAGGTCTGCTGATCACATGTGCAGGAAATTGTCTTCTGTGATGGATAATGATTTACTGTCTAAAAAGAAATTAAGCAATATGCAAACGCAAGACAGAAAAAGAATCTAATCTTATAAGCAATAATGGTCTTGAAAGTTAAAAAAGACAAAACGTAATACATTCCTCCATTAAAGGAGTCAAACTACACTGCACATAAGCTGTTCAGTTCCTTCTATACATCTCTACAGAAAGTGGAAACCTAAAAGAAGGAGAAATGTTGTGATTATTAAAGAAAATTACTCAGAAAATAACTGCTACAAATAAACGCAAAGGTCTTGAACAGAAATAAAGCCCACCATTGCTAAAGTTTACCAACCAGAAAAAATAATAGTGATGATGATACAGTATTTTAGAAAAAAGAGTAATAAAATATGCTTTGCAGTACTTTAGTGCTCAAATTGGTTTTGAATCATTTTCTTTTATTAAAAATTAAAAATTGTGCTTTCTGAATGCATTTAAATAACATGACCAACTCTGGTAGTGTTTAACAGTCCTGAAAACAAAAGTCAAGAGAAAAGTGCAGAAAAGGTTTCTAATTAGTAAAGCATGTAAAAATACAATATATCACTCAGTATATTTTATA